GACATGAAGAAGGAGGAGGATGAACATTTCTGCTGACAGGAAAGGTCGCTGAAGGAAAAGACGAGTCTGATAACACCATAACAACGCATCATGAATGAGACTCTTTAAGAGAAACCGTAGTTTCTGTGAAAATGCAGCCTGAATGCTGCGAGCTGACWGACATTCACTAAAGAATGAGGTAAAGTTACAACAAGCAGAGCAGAAGCTAAAATTAGCTGAACCATTGATAAGAGTTCAAACTAACAAAAACAAAATTAAAAAGTGAGGATTACTTGTTCAAATCTGATTCTAAAATGCTGAAATTGCAAAAAAGTTGAGCAAAAAAAAGGTAGCAAAACTATAATAAAGATCTGTATTAGCTAAACCATAGCTGAGAGCAAAAATAAACAGCACTGCAGCTTAAATCATTTTTCAATAAGCTGTTTTTCAACTGAAAAAACATTATAGCTAGAAGTTAAACTTAGCAAAGCTAAATGCTGAAAAAGGTCAACAGTAACTAAAAGTAACAATAAATAAAACCATTATTAACAGTTTACATCAGCAAAATCTGAACTTAAAGCTAAAATTAGCAAATCATTAGTTAAAAGTTAAAATAAGAAAAAGAGGGCAGCAAAATGCTAAAATAGGTCAACAGTAGCTAAAAGCTAAAATAGGTAACACTGTGACTAAAAACTGAAACTATCAAAACTTTACCTAAACTAGCTAAAAAAAGATAAAAAGTGGCAACACTTAAACGTTCAACTCAGAAATACAGTAGCCAAAAGCTACAATGACGCAGCTGTAGCTAAAACAAGTATAATTGTGGCCAAAAGCTACAAATATTCTCAAACAAAACTGGCAAGACTAGCAAAGAATCTAAGTGTTGGGAAACAGCAGCTAAAACCTAAGTGTTGAGAAACAGCAGCTAAAAGCTAATTGTTGGGAAACAGCAGCTAAAATCCAAGTGTTGGGAAAAAAAGCTAAAACCTAAGTGTTTGGAAACAATAGCTAAATGCTAAGTGTTGGGAAACAATAGCTAAAACCTAAGTGTTGAGAAACAGCAGCTAAAATCCAAGTGTTGGGAAAAAAAGCTAAAACCTAAGTGTTTGGAAACAATAGCTAAATGCTAAGTGTTTGGAAACAATAGCTAAAAGCTAAGTGTTGGGAAACAATAGCTAAATGCTAAGTGTTGGGAAACAGCAGCTAAAATCCAAGTGTTGGGAAAAAAAGCTAAAACCTAAGTGTTTGGAAACAATAGCTAAAAGCTAAGTGTTGGGAAACAAAAGCTAAAACCTAAGTGTTTGGGAACATTAGCTAAAAGCTAAGTGTTGGAAAACAATAGCTAAAACGTGTTGCAAAGCAGTAGCTAAAATCTAAGTGTTAGGAAACAGTAGCTAAATATTGAAATTAGCAAGACAGTATTAGAAAGGAGCACAACACTAAAAGAGCTGATGTAGAAGTCTTTGATGCATTTCTGAGGGAAAAGTGTTTGTGTATAAAGTTTATTATTTGAAAAAGTAAACATTTACAAAAACTATAAAGTCCTGGTACAATTTTCCTGATTGAACCAAATGTTTTGATACAYGATTTGTTAACAGCAGAAAGTCTGCAGAAGCAGATTCAATGAAAAAAATCACTCTAAAGAGGAAAACACTGGATCTTCTTAGAGATTCCCTCTGATGCTCTAAAAATAAACCTCACTTTAAATAAGAGAAACTAAAAAAGAAACRTGACTTCCTTTTGCTTTTCTTTTGAAAAGTCTGAGTTAAATCAGGCTGCAGATCAAAGAGGATTCTATGTTTAGATKTCAGCTTGATGAGCTGGAACTAAACCGAACCCTGTGCTCTCATCAAACAGGTAAATTTGTCAGTTGTGTAACTCGCCTCTCCCCTGAGAGCTTCTCTTTGTTTGGATTTATTTTATTTTTTCTCTTTGCAGCGAGCGACCCCGTCTTACGCTTTATCTCGCACACATCAGTAAACTGAAGTRCACGCTTGACGTCAGCAAAGATGCGCCGATACCAGAGTCGATCCGTTTCAAGTGGCAGGCGGGTCGGTCCCAGAGCTGAAGAGCTTTTTATTCTCCCGCTGCTGCCCTGTCACGTGTACCCAGTTTAGTCTGAGGCGGGAATGTTTTGATATTTACCGTAGCTCTCTTTATAGTCATTCAAGCAAAATAGGACCTGCAGTCATTTTCTGCTAGGGCGTTTTCATTTTACAGTAGTTTGACCATCTGTTGAGTTGAGATTCCTGTTAATTTCCTCAGTATTTTATCAGCTATTTGATCAAAAAGTGTCTAAATGAAGTCCATGAAGTCCAGGAAGTCCACACAGACTTGGTGTCACTCTTCCTTCAGGCTTTAAGTAAACTCTCAAACTCATTAATCTTTGAGTCAAAATCAAACTTAAAATTTTATTTTATTTAGTTTTCAGTGCAAAATCTTGTTTTTTGTAACCWTATTTTCTAATAATAGGACCTTTTAAAAACTTAGTGTCTCTCTAGGAACAACAAAACAGTAAATAAACAACAAAATAACTTTATATTAATTAATTAATTAAATAAATTAAATAAATAAAAATAAATAAATTCTCAAGTCTCCTAAGCTTTAAAGGGATTGTTCAGATCTTTAAAAGTGTTGTGAAAACAATAAGCATCTTACCTGCTGCAGATAGCTCTTTGAGTGACTTCAGTTTGGAGAAAGGATTTAACTCTAACCAGCTTGATGAGCT